AGTCGACAGCCATGCTTGTGGCTCTGTGAGGCTCTGTGAGGCCAGTGATGGTGCTCGATACGAAAGCATGGGATCACCGAAGTTCACTGTGCATGTGTTCACCAAATTGCACAGTAATCCATTCAACAGTCAATCTTCAGGAAAAAAGTCAGGGGATCAACAGAGGAATTATGATTCATCCCCTGAGGGACAGGAATGTCTGTACCAAAATCTGTGTCAATCCATGTTGTAGATGAAGAGATCTTTCACTGATGAAGTGAGCATTTTGACTGAAGGACAGGTCAGAAGGGTCAATCCTTGAGTCACCATGGGTATCCGTGCCAAATCATGTTTCTTTAATACATACTAGACAAGGAAGTTAATATAAATGCTTGTAGGAGGCAGGGTTGCATGGATGCCATCTAAAAGTGTTTGTTATTATACTTTTCAAGGTGATAATCCTTTAGAGCTTTACTTTTAATTAGTCTCTTTGGTGCAGTGTGTTGATTGCTGTGGTCTTTCGCACTTTACTTGCCAGGAATCACCTGCCAGTCAAGTGAAGGGTGTCGAGTATTTTGATTTCTTTTTGTCTTGGACTTTCTGTTTCTGTATTCTGTTGTGTACTGTTGTTGACAATTAGATCAGATTTGTCATTCGTTTAAGGTCTAAACCAGTGGTTCTCGACCTTTTTTTGTGTCAAGGACCTCAAGATTGATACATCGTAGATCACCGACACCCATTTGATAAGATTTAGCTTCAGGGACCTTCATCTGAAATTATAATGGTTTTTAGATACGATCAGGCTGTACTCATGCACTGTTGATGTATACCTGAGAAAAGTTATGCACCATAATCATCTATAACCCACGTAATCATGACCCAGTACTTTGTGTATAACCCATGTAATTACCTGCAAAAAGCCTGCAATCACTTGACAAATGCACTGACATGAACAGAAAAATAAGTAGTCTGCATAGGTATGTAGACTACTTGGGCGGTGAATGCGGGGCGATTAATGACTCCCAAACACCCCAAGAAGTGTTCTGAAACGTGTGAAACCAAGTGTACTTTGAGCTATTTTAAGGTTCGTGTTTCACTGTTTCTTCTCCTAAACCTACCCTGCATAACTTTACAACAGTAGTTTTTATTAGATATGTAACGTCATTCATGGGATGCTCATTTGTTAGACATAGGAATCGTTGCATGTGCATTTTTGTGTGATATCTTACAAACCACTGTATGAGGATACACTGCTATTACGACCAGAATTATATTGTTGCCAACTAAAGTGGAGGCGATAAACACATTGGGCTCAATTCCGTGGTGAATTTAACAGTAAAAATAAAGTATTCCCCATTTTTCTGGGAGCCCCTTGGAAATCCCTCAAGGACCCCTGTTGGTCCTGTGGCACAAAAGGTTGAGAACCATTAGTTTAGACCACTGGTTCTCAACCTTTCCCCTTTGAAGGACCCCTAAATTGGTCCGGGACCCCAATTTGAATTTTGCGTCAAGGGCCTCCATTCGAAAAGATTATGGCTGTTACCTATGAAAAGTTATGTACTACAATCATCCATAACCCACGTAATCATGACCCAGTACTTTGTGTATAACCCATGTAATTACCTGCGAAAAGCCTGCAATCACTTGACAAATGCACTGATGGGAGTAAAGACAGAAGTAGCCTGCATTGGTAAGCAATTTGGGGCAATGGATGCAAGACGGTATTCTAAACTGTGTGAAACCAAGTGTACTTTGAGCTATTTCAAGGTACGTTGTCGACATGTTTCTTTTCCTTAACCTCTACTTGCTTAAACCCAACCTGCATAACTTTACAAAAGTGCATAGCTTTTCTTTACATATGTGACTTGACATTACATACGTGACATCATTCATGGGATGCTCATTTGTTAGATATATGAGTCGTTACGTGTGCATTTTTATACCATGCACACCACTGTATGAGGATACATTGATATTAAGACCAGAATTCTATTGTTGCCAACTACAGTTGAGGTGATAAGCTTGGATGAAGTTTAATTTATAATCAGAACAGTCACTCTTATGACTCTTACACATGTTGGGCTCACTTCCATGGTGAATTTAACAGTGAAAATGAAATATTCCCCAATTTTCTGGGAACCTCTTGGAAATTCCTCAAGGACCCCTGGGGCCCCTTGCTTTGTTGACCTCCATCTACAGCTGCATCCATCCATCCATTTTCTAACCGCTTATCCTCTTGGGGCTCGCGGGGGGGCTGGAGCCTATCTGACATTGGGCAAGAGGCAGGGTACACCCTGGACATGTCACCAGACTATCGCAGGGCTGACACATAGAGACAGACAACCATTCACACTCACATTCACACCTACGACAATTTAGAGCCACCAATTGACCTATGGCTAAGCCACGCCCCCCTCCACTCACTCAGACAAACTATCAACATTCAGTGACCGGCGCTATGGCAGGTGTCACAGTACACGGCATTTCACAGGAGGCAACGGATGATTTTTGGGGACATAACGATCAGATGTCATTGAGAAGTAACCAAAAGGGCCTAAACTACGCATTGGAGGGATATATTCATCATTTTATTGTTGAGAAGGTCGATGAAAAGCTTAAATTACAAGCCAAAATTTACAGGTCACAGTGTACGCTTGTGAACCGCATCTCGTTGCCGTCGCCATCAAAGACAACAAGTTAAAGTGCCACTGAAGTTAAGGTTTTTGGCTCAGAATATGAGAAAAGGATAACTGCCTTTTTACCATCTTTACCAAGAGTGTCTCTCCGTTAGTTTGGTGCTACAGTATTTACACTGAATCATTCAGCATAACGTTTGCCAACCTTTGTTATCGCTGCCATTACAGATAAGTTAATGAAGCTAAGCTCCAGAAGTTAACGTTAGCTTAACTAGAGCCCTTTGGACAACAGCTAACAATGATGTACGATCACCAAAGTACAAAACTAGAACAAAATAGGCTAATGAACTCCCAGCAAACAAGGTGACATGATGAACAACGCAGCTAGGAGCTAACGTTAGGCTAACTTTAGCTAACGTTAGCTAGAGATGTTAAAGATAACTTTATATTTCTTTCCAGCAAAGTGACAATATGTTGCCTCAAACACAATGTTGACTTACCTTAGAACAGATGTAGACATCATTGTTAATCTTATTCACGTTGAGTTGATGTTGTGGTCTAATGTTACCACACAACTTTATCCAAAGGAGACACTTTTCTCGGTTGAGATGTGGTTTAAAGTGTAAAAAATACACCTGGTCGCCCAGCCTCTCAGGATACCTTGTGTCAGATTTGCATGTACCCCATGCACACCGTTTGACTATTTTTGAGTGTATGGGAATGGCTATATGCACTGTGATTGGCTCATCGCATTTGAGGGCGTGGCTTAGCCATAGGTCAATTATCTTGCATGTCTTTGGGAGCGCCTGTAGAGCAGGTCGTCCACCAATCGAAAGATCAGCGGTTCGATCCCGGGCTCCTCCAGGCTGCATGTTGAAGTATCCTTGAGCAAGATACTGAACCCCAAATTGCTCCCGATGGCTGTTCCATTGGTGTGTGAGTGTGTTAAAACTGAGTAGTAGGTGGCACCTTGTATGGTAGCCTCGGCTGCCAGAATGAATGTGTGTGTGAATGGGTGAATGTGACTCGTAGTGTAAAAAGCAGTGGTCACTAGATGACTAGCAAGGCGCTATACAAATGCAGGTCCATTTACTGTGGGAGGAAGCTGGAGTACCCAGAGAAAACTCACGCTGACACGGGGAGAACATGCAAACTCCGCACAGAAGGGCTCCCTCCTGGGATCAAACCTTGCTGTGAGGCGACAGTGCTAACCACCCTTTTACAGCTGCGATTATTTGTAGATTACTTTCTTGATTCTTGAAATGTTGATGAGTATATCCCAAAGCCCAGGACGACGTTCTTAAATGTCTTGTTTTGTCCACAAATCAAAGACATTCAGTTTACTGTCATGGAGAAATAAAGACACCAGAGAACATTCACAATTGTAGATCGTTGTGGCTCTACCTCCATCTTACAAGATTTTAATTGTTAGGTATGATTACAACCAGAACTCAATAGTTTCAACTACAGTTGAGGAGGAACTGTGGAGGAAGTAAAATCTACGATCAGAATACTCACTCTTGGCGGGTCCATGTCATTGGTCCGACAGCCCATTGGTCCGACATCCCATCAGTCCAATGGTCCACGGTGCTGAACGGCTCCTGGCGGGCGTATTTCTGCCTTGATGGTGCGCCGCGACCGGCTCTGGGTCAGCTGGGAAAGGCTTGAGGTGAAGCAGGCTCACGGCTTATGTGTTTGTCACTTTCTTTTTCATTTTAACCCACACCATGATCTTTTCCTGACCCTAACCAAGTGGTTTTTGTGCCTAAACCTAACCAGACCTTAACCACAGGGCATCATGATGATTTCGGAACAACGGGACTTCGGAACAATGAGTTTAATATGGTCGGAACAATGGGATGTCGAACCAATGGGCTGTCGGACCAATGGGCAGTTCCCTTCTTGGCACTCTTGCTTTTCTTTTTCTTTATAGTGTATTCTTGTCTCCTAAAGCTGCTGAATTCATTTTAACAGAGCCGCAGTGATTGCACAGATGAGATAAAATGCATGAAGCTGAGGAGATATTATGATCAAGTGCATGCGAGCACGTACTTCATCTGTACATTTGTTATGAGGACAAGCAGCTGTGTGAGGACAAAAGCAATCGCTTAAAAGTGACAGCCGCGGTGGAAGAGATTGTAGGGATTGCCTGTTCGCAGACATATACATTTACAAGAACCCACATAAATATTTTCTGTCTGTCTTTTTGTAACTCACTGCACCGAGGCATCAGACCTCATTATGCAACAGTTATGGAAAAACTCCCCGCAGTAAATCCTGCTGAAATACAGAAAAAATAAGATAAATGTTGCTGACTGTGACAGCTAACTCGCGCCCGTTCCCTCGACAGATATATGATACCAAAGTGTTTTTTTGTCCCATCAGGAGGAAGAGCTACGGCAGAGTGGCGAGGCCAAATATCACCACCTGAACGAAGACCTGCACGTCCTCATCGAGGTGTTCGCCCCGCCAGCTGAGGCCTACGCCAGGATGGGTCATGCTCTGGAGGAGATCAAGAAGTTTCTCATACCAGTACGTTCCCTTCCTTCCTCACATACACACACTTTCTCTGCCTGGATTTCTTTCCAGGAGCTCTTTGTGCCCGGGCTGACTCATTTTCAGCCTGTCCACAGTGAAGAAAGAAACAGAAGAGACAACTTTCCCTTGCACTCTTTGTCTGTTACTTGCACTGTAATTCTGTCAGGGCAGGAGTGTGTGTGTGCTGATTCGATGTGTGTGATCCTGAGTGGGAAGTCGTGGGTATAACAGGAATAAAAGAGCGCAGGAGGGGATCTCTGCGCAGGCCAACCTCTCCTTGGCAGCAGCATGCAGCATGGAGCTTATTTACTCTTCCTCCATTCATTATGGATGATCTCTCCAATGCTCAGAGCTATGATGATTTACATCTCATCATTAATTATCAGCAGACCCCTCCCCCATCCCTCCTCCATGTTGCTTCTCCCTGCTGTTGCCATGAAACATATTTATCGATAGAGCGGACACATGACAATCATATCAGTCACTTTATGATTAAAGACCTATTTCCATGTTAATTATGTGTTTTAATTTAGTGGCAAAAACAACTGTGTGAGAAGATAAAGGCAAACAGGGTGCTGAGGATTTATCAACGGGAGATCTGAAATGTTTTGCTGCCTCAGGAACAGCGGTCACGGCAGTACTGTAAAGTACATTAATTAGATATTCCCGGGGCTGTAGCCCTGGAGATAAAGGACGAAATTTAATACAGTGTAATTGAAAGCTAGTCTATTGCTGTCTGTGTTTGTGTGTGTGTGTGTGTGTGTGTGAACACGCTGCCTCTCTGTGTGCAGGATTACAATGATGAGATCAGACAGGCCCAGCTGCAGGAGCTCACATACCTGAACGGTGGCTCGGAGGATGCCAAGGTGCCATCGGTGAGGGGCAAGTCAGCCGCCCGTGGAAGAGGGACACCTGTTCCAGGGCCTCCCAGGTAACCTGCCTCCAAATGTGTGTGTGTACGTGTGTTTGTGTGTGGGCAAGTTGTGTACATGTGCACTTTAGTTCAGCTAGGGAATGGGTATTATTTACAGTTAAGGAGCTACTGGAAAGCAGAGTTTTTTATGGATTCGTTCAGTATCCTGTTGCTTTCTCAGAGTTAATGGCGTCATTTAGAGTTACAGCATATTTACGACCGCCTCTGTCTGCTCCACTAATACCAGAGATGTTTAGTCTTTTTGTGCTGTTTTTTAAAAGATATGGATGTCACTTTTTTTTTTACCTTATTTCTTGACAGAGACTTCCAGTTTCTCTCTGTGTGCCCAAACAATTTGGGCCAAATTTGAATTTGCAGTTGCAACTTGTATTATATTGTCGAAATAATATTTTTATCTAACCAATCGATCGTTCATGTTGCAACCAGCAGCACGGACAAGACCCTGACGACAGAGCCAGTTTCACTTGATGGCCAACATGTTGAAACTGTGGAAAACTTTAAATACCTCGATACAGGTCTGGACTCCCAGGTGAGCTTCTCTGGACATACTGAGTATATTCTCAAGAGATGCTCACAGTGACTCTATCTTCTTAGGAAATGTAGTGGCCTCAGTATTTGTCAGCAGGTTTTACAATTAGTGCACAAATCTATGGTTGAGAGTGTTTTAACTTTTCACCTCCCTGCCTGGTATGGTCATCTTAACTGTACATCCAAGAATAAACTCTCTAGGATTGTGACAATGGCAAGGACGAGACAGAAAGCAAAGAGTATCTTGGCAGATAGCTCTCACCCTCTCTTTAGCCAGTTTGGGCTCTTGGGCTCAAGGAGGCGCAATAGAGTTCCTCTGGCAACTAAAAACGTACCTAAGAAGTCCATCATCACAAGTATCATCATCCGTATCCTTAACTCAACAAAGTGACTGATGAGTTTTAAATCACAGACAGACAATGAGCTGATTTAGTGTGTTAAAGGAATAGTGCACCCAAAAATGAAAATTCAGCCATTATCTACTAACCCATATGCCGAGGCAGGCTCAGGTGAAGTTGAAGAAATTGAAATTGAAACCACAAAATATCTCCATACTGCTCGCCGTAGTGATCCAAGTGTCCTGAAGCCCCTGGGGCGCCGTCAGCCTCCATTAGGTGGAGTTGTTTTGCTACCTCCTCTCCCCTTGGATCTCCGCAAGTGTTGTGAGGACTCTAAAACTTCACCTGAGCCTCCCTCGGCATATGGGTGAGTAGATAATGGCTGAATTTTCATTTTTGGGTGCACTGCAAGTGTTTGGTAATGACTTTGTATGTTTGTTTTACTGACTATTTAATTGCTTTATGTTGCCGCTTGTGTCTGTTGAGTTGAATCGATTCTATCGAATTCAGTTCTATCGAAATGCAAAACGCTTCAATGATTACTGCCGTATTAGGAGGGGTGTAGTTAAAAAAGAATCTGAGATGGGTGGTAGCCTAGTAAGCCTAGCCTAGTTTGCTAGTTCATCTAGTAAGCTTTCTTACCAAGTAGGGTCCATTTGATAGCGTTAGTTTGTTCCGTGGCAGCAAAATGTTTAAATGCCTGTGATTGGAAGGAAAAAAGAAGTGGTAAGGATCCTGAAGCTGAAAGGGAGCTGTCAATCAAGCGTGATCTGATCAAGTCCCCATAATCCAGAGAAACTGTATGAGCATCCAATTGAGCTGTTCTTTTTTTTAAACTAGGTTTTCTAATAGTTAGGAACATTTATTTTCACCCAGGTTTGTGCCAATGTTTAATGAGACGTTTGTTTTTGATATCATTTGTGTGACTTTTTACTATTTCAAGCCAAGTTTCCAGTCATTTGAAAGACAATATTCACAATATGTTTGCTGTCAATTATAGGTCTGAGAAAGAAAGAAAGAAAGAAAGAAAGAAAGAAAGAAAGAAAGAAAAGAAAGAAAGAAAGTTGGAATCGGCCAAAATCGGTGTCACCAAGTCTGACTTTTAAAATCCAGAAATCGTCCAAGAAAATTGCCGTTGCTGCATCTCTACTCATTACATGGTCAGCGTCGGGACTGATCCTGAAACTGAGCTCATGCTTGTTGAGCAGTGGGATGTCTGCATTCACTAAGTTTCAAAAAGAAATGGTAATGTAGTGATGGGAGTTGGATCATTTTCGGGTTTGCCAGTCCAGTCCGGTGTAGGAGCTTAAACCAGTTTGATTTTTTTGCAAACCAGCTGAACCAGCATTTTTCCTTATGACACATTCTGGCAAACTATAAAGTAGCCTACATCAGCAACCTGTGCTGAGAGCGTCACGGCACTAAATCCAACATGTATGGACTAATAGAGCCAGTGGTGTCTGACAGGCCGTGAGCCGAGCCCGGCAACATGAAGGGAATCGAATTTCTGTAGAGGCGGGAGGAGACACTAGTGGAGCACTTTGTGTTAGTTTGCATGCTGAGATGAGACATGGCAGAGTTAGTCTCTCAAGAAAACTAAAACTGCGGATAAACTGGGATTCTGTTTTTTAAAGTTCAAATGAGAATGAATTTATGTAATACCTTCTTATTTCGCTGGCAACTGGAGGAAGATTGTAGGGAGCTGAACATTTTTGGTAAATGACCATCGCTAATGACAACCTACTTGCAGTAAATATCACAGTATAAAACAAGTGTTTTCAGTAATAAAAGGACAGCAAGTAGACTACTCACCCATCTTTTAAGCGGTTACATCTTCGGTCTGATCTGGCCTGCACAGCTAATAGGTACATGGTTTGTTCACATGAAGTAACAAAGAGCATATTCAGTGGAATCAGTGTGGAGAAAGAGCGCCTATGTTACATGATCTGATGTGATAGTTATAAGTTGTTTGCATTTGGGACATGGTGTTATTAACTCGGGAGCGGCTGCTGAGTCAAGTGGGATGCCTGGTAAAATCTGGTATACTGCAAACGGTTAAATGGGTAATTTTGCAAGACACCTATAAACAGCCTATTTCTTCATTGAAGACTTACTAGGTCACTGGAAGGAAGCACAGCGTTATCATAATGTCGCCTACCTGTACATACTGACATCAGATTCTTCGAGCAGGACAAAGTGAAATTAAAACTTAGAACAGGCCAAACAAAGACTTCCTGTTTAATGTGATGGGTTATCTCTCTCTCTCTCTCTGTCTCTGTCTCTGTCTCTCTCTCTGGAAATTATTTGTCATAAGACTGAATTGCAGCAAAAAGCTTCCTCAGAAGACAGAAAAATGAGCCCTGATATTTCCAACTCTGCTGACTGTGTGCAGACCTCAGCAGGAACTACAAAGAAGAGGCAGAAACCAAAGATGATTGGCATAAAGCTACAAACCAAAGCACTGCTGCTTTCATTTAAAGTTGCATTGTGCACATGGCTGCTTATTTACTGAACTCGCCAGGCTGTTTTCTGTGCACCAAAGAAAACCAACAAGGACAAGAGAGCCAAAACATCTCATGCTGGCGAGTCCGGCTTTCTGTGGACGGAGCTGTCAATAAAGCTCTGAGGAAGTTCAGCCAGAACGACTATCTCACTCTCTCTGTTCCCTTGTCTTTCATGATCACTTCTCAGCCACACCTCTTGGCTTCTATCCATTCGTACATTTTCCTCCTTCCCTATTATCCTCCACTATCCCAGCTAAACGACCTCTCCATGTTCACTTCATTGAATAGAGTAAGCCAGAAGTGAGGTTGTCCTCTCTGTCACCCACATAGGAGCTCATTATAAATGCTTTACACTGCAGTCCATTTTCATGGTGTTATGTCTTTGTTAACATGTTGGGCACAGATCAGTGTCAGAACCCACTGGCTATCAGACTGGCAACAGTAATCCTCCTGGGGAAACGGCCAGTATTTCAAGAGATCCGCTGTAGCAAGCAGATGTCCAGACCAAGGCTTCCTCCTTTGTGCACTGTAGTGGCGGACATTGTTTTGGGGATCCTGTTGGTCACGGGATTCTTGTGGGATTCTCAAAGGATGATAGTCAATTTCACCATTCATCCCGTGACTGGGTTGTGACAGGAAAGAAGTGTCAACAGGAGTGAGCGGGACAGGAATCATTCCCTCAATCCCAAATGGATCCCTTACAGATTCATTGACTCAAGCCCTAAGCACTTATAGACCTAGGACCAATTCCATTTATTCCCCTTAGCCCTTGTCTTGGCCCTTCCCCTTGGTTTTGCGCGTTCACATGAGGGGAAGTGGTGTCCCAATTCTCCGTCATGTTAGCTCTTCACCTGATGGAGAATTGGGACAAGGGCTAAGGGGAAGAGCTAGCAACATGAAGTTAGGCAGCAGCTATTAGTTTGATTCCACAGAGCACAGGAAATACATGCTTGCAGGCATGAGCACGTGAAGCATGCGAAGTAAAATTGATTGTTTTTTTTTTTTTTTACAGAACATTATTGCAATGTTAATTTCCATTAGCGTGTTAATAGTAATTCCATTTATGTGTTAGCATCGAGCTAAAGGACGACTTCGGCATTGGAGCCAGAATTTGGTGCCAGTTCTATTAGAGTCAATGCGGTGGACACGGAAATTATAACCCATCATATCCTTGTTGTTTCAACTTTGACTGAAAAATCCTGCCACCAAATTAAAAGACACATAACGTGATGCTGGCTGACATTTTTTATCTGAAATACACATTTGTTTGCCTTGTTACTGGCCTACAAATGAATTACAGATCTGTTTTAAGCCACTGTTTGGTCCAAGATAGCTAATGTTTCATCATGATACATAAACAAACTGGGTCCAATCCGTTATCTTTGACCAGACTGCAGTTATAACCAGATCACTTCTTAATGGCTCGGATTATTATTCTGGCTGGAAGAAATGATATAGTCAGTCAGTTAGGTACATATCTGCCAAATTAGGACTTGACTGTATGCTACAATGCCTTACGCCGGATGTCCACTGGATCTGTCGCGTGTGCAATTCGGCAATGGCGCGGACTCGCTCCGTCCTGGCATCAATGTCCACTGGAACTATAGCGGCACGCACGTGAGCGGCTGGAATTGGCAGATTGTGAGATCATAATGTCACGCGATAATCTGCGGAAACCCTGGAGGTATAGAGACATCAACAAACACAGAAAATGTATTTCTGCCTACCAGACATTGACCACTGTAGGCCATTTCGCAGTTTTTTTCTTGATTTTATGATGTTGATGTAGCGATGTGAAATACGATCCGGAGATTTCATGGGTGTTTTATTTTGAAAATTGGCTGGATACTCCCGTCCTTTCTGCACCTGACTTCCTGTTTGACTCAAAAGAGACATTGCTGGATAACGTTAGCTAAACAAAGTGCAAATGTTTCTTTAATTCACTGACAAGCAAAGTCACAAGTACCAGTAACTGCTGAAGGTCCAAATTTACAATAAATTGGCGAGTAGCACCACTTCCTGACAATAATATAAAACATTATCTACCTTAGCCCCTCTGAATATTAGTAAACATCATTAACATTTTCAGATTTGGTAGGTTATTGATAATCAAACACATGTAGCCTACAATACTAGCTGCAGGTAGGTTAGCTATCTTGGACTCAAGTGGGGCTTGAGTTAAGCTATTTGCAGATGATGTCATGATCCACATTTAGATAAAAAAAAATGTCAGTCAACATTAGGTGATATGTGATTCTTTTAAACTCATAAAAGGACTTCTCAGTCAAAGTTGAAAAAACAAAGATATGATGGGTTATAGTGTGATTTGAGGTGCCTGCCATTGACCTTTCCTTCTTTTATATTTTCCTTGCACTAATTTACTTATACCAGTTATCTTGAGAAATAGCATAACAAAAATGAAAGTCAACTGCTGATTTGGACGTCAGGTACCATGACAAGGATGAAGTTTCAGGGCTTTAAAGCATTCAGGTCAGCCTTTCTAAACTTTCAAAGTTTGAATAGGCCAAGACATAATGCTTATTACATAGACTAGACTAGAAAAAATTGACACACAGTGCTGAGCTGCATCTCAGAATAAACTCATGTTCCCAGCTTTCAGATGATGTATACCTCCTCTTTGTGGCATGTACCGTCTGTCTGATATCTCCTCATAAAGAATCCTTGACCCTGCTAAAAATGAAAAAGAAAGGGTTGGTAGAGAAGTGGAAGAGGTTAATTAGGCTCTGATACAGAGTTTGGAGAGTGAATAAACAGTTAGATACAATTAAAAATACGAACACTAGATTACATGCTTTACTGTTTCCTGTGAATCCGTCATGCGTAGGTAGGCAGTAGAACAATGGAGACTCGTGTGTACAGAGGTAATTACAGAATGGAAATGTTCAGCAGTTACATTGTTGACCAACAATGGCGACCTACAAAATTGGTCATTGACCAGTGGAGCCTGTGAGGAAAAAAAATCTGCATTTCATCACCAGGATCTGATGGGAGACGTAAATTTATTTGGCAAATGTGGCGCTGCTGAGTCCAGGGGAGTCTCAGCTCTGCTCAGCCACACTCTGTGATTTAGGCTGTTTACATTTGGTCAGTATATGAGAGGTTGTTCTGTGTTATGGTGCCATATTTTAAGCTGAGACTCGTGTTTATGTATGTTGCAGTAGGTCAGAGTGGCCATTAAGTGAGCAAGCACTTTTAATAGAAAAACAAAAATGATAGTAAATAGTGTCTGGTGGTCGGCAGTGATGCAATGTCTGGTGTCCATAAACATTAGCAAAGCAAAGCCTCCATTAGCATAAAAGCCTTTATATGCTAATGATCTTTCCTCTCTACTATCCCTGTGAACCCACGCTAATTCCAGCTCCTCCGAGACCTCACAAGACTACAAATAAAAATACTCACGGCCATTAGAAAACTTTTAGGCTCTCTGTGTCAACGCCGAGCTTTAGAAAACGCAAAGCGCCGTGTTGTTTGTTCTTTGTGTTTATAAAAGAAAACACGCTTCTTTCATCAGTTTTGGAGATAAACAAGGTCACCGAGACACGTCGTTTGTATTGCTCTGAGTCAGAATATAATTGGCTGTGTTTTAAATTAAACTGTAATTAGAATTTACCATGCCTAATTTGAGTGTGATAAGACAGAAGTCCCAGCGGCTCCTGAACAGGAAGTCGCATGTAGATATTCACACTCACATGTGCTTATTTTTGCTTTTGACTGACACACTTACTCGTCATTGACACTTTGTAGCCGTCGCATATTCCTCTTTGACGTTGGAGCTGGAGCTGGAAGAGAAGCCCCGCTGTTGAAGGAGAATCAGCTCTCAGTGCACAACTGTTTCTTTTCTCCGCTTGAGGGCGGTCCAATTTCTATCAAGTAAACATCCTCCTCTGTCCCCGTTAGTCAGAAAATTAAGACTTTTTTTTTCCTCTCCTCCTGCCCTAAATCTGTGATGTTTCACCAATCATAATGGAGAAATGGAAAGCATAGAAAGAAAATGACCCTGAGAGCAACCTTGGTGGTTTTCTGCTGCTGCTTCAGAACAGTTAACTACTTTTAAAGAAAGCTCAGTCGGTGTAAAAAGCTCAAACAACACGTTACCAAACCACAAGGTCACACCGCCTTTGATTTCTAGCAGAGCAGCTTGACTTTGCTTCCATCTTGATTATAGTGCAGGTTAGACTCAGGGCTCTGTGTTAATGCATCGAGACGACTGTACAGATCCGTATCTCACTGTAGCTGCTCTGCAGCAGAGCTTCATGGGCGGCATGCTTGTTTACCTAAACATTAAATCTGGAAAAAAATCAAACCACAAAATCTAAATCACTCAGGGTAAAAATCAGGTTTTTGTGCCACTTCCCCTGGGTGCAAATGCAAGGCTTTATTTCCAGACAAGAAAACATCCATCACTGAACCAGCAGAAACACCAGTTTTGTCACCTGCATTTTCCTTAACAGACAGGAAAGCAATTCAGCCACAAGACATGCTGTGTTTTGAGTAATGGACGTGACTCACTTTTTCTCGACTGGAGGAGCTTGCCCTCCACCCTCGCTGTTCCTCTGTCTCCACCTACACATATAACCTGCCGCTGAATGTATCAAATTCATCGCTTCGGTTGTACCAAGTCATTCTGGCCGACGTAGGAAATCACTAACTGGAGTGGAAGGAGACGAGGCAGCTTGACTCCAAACATAATAAATTCCAGCACCTCATCATAAAGACCTGGGCCGCAGTGGACGTCTCATATTGATGATTTATAATACCATCCTCGTAACAGTATCTTTTAATGGTTTAAGATCATATGAACATGTTGTGTAGAAAGAGGATACACTGTATATCACCTGATCCATCCCAAATATGAACACATACACATTTCTTCTTCAATAATTCACTGAATTTATCACACAAGCTGATAAGACATAAAAAAAAGTTTTTAATTTATACTCTGTTGTCTAAGTCGTGGCGGATGTTTGTGTCTTGTGTCAGGAGTCGAGGAGGAGTTCCTCCCCTGCACGCGGCCGTGCCTCGAGGAGCAGCACCCAGAGGAGCCCCACCCAGCCGCGCTCCATCTTCCAGAGGGAGAGGGGTTCAGAGAGCCAGAGGCTCCCCCCCAACCGCCGGGTACCGACCGGCTCCTCCAATCGTTCAGGACACATACGGGGAATATGTGAGTATATCAAAACTTGGGCTCTTATTCCAGTTTCTATTGTCTATCCTTGTGAAATGGATATGTTTGAGTTTTGGATTAAGCAAGTAAATCGACGTGCTAACTTGAGCAAGGCATTTTTCACTGTTTTGTAGCAACACTAAGGGATCAGTGCATCTTTAATAGCCACAGTATTGAGACATACAGTTACAACAACAGAGCATGTACATTTGAGGATGCTTTCAGGTGCATTTTAAAAACCATCTATTCCTTTATATGTTCAGCTCTGTTGTCATTGTTGTGAGCTGTTGTGTCCATTTCTGTGCAAGTGCATTGAAAAGATGCAAACACAGGACTCAGATTCACTTTATAAGCACATATACTTGGCCAGTACAGCTGATTCTGAACTTGACCTTTTGATTTGGCCCACTCACCATCACAGCCAGCTGCTGTTGCAGCAGCAGTGGTCGTGAGGCACAGCTAATGGAGGCAGAAAAGACACCTTTGAACACTGATTGCTGCATTTTGTGTCAAACATCATATAGTGACACGTAACTTAATCAAGTCTGAAAACACAGACATGATGCATATTCTTTTTATATTTCACTGTGACCTGCACTCTGAGGATATAGTTATTACTTGATGTCCATATGGAATAAAACTCCAGATGTGTATGCTCCTTATACCTCCAGAATCATCTCAGTTTTAAATTTTCTTCAGTATCAAAGTAATCCAGTGATACGTGTCTGTACATCCCAGGGTATGTTGCACAGGGAAACTGCTTATAGCTAAGTGGGGAAACTTTTAAAGGTGCCGGTTTGATGAATGCAAACAAAATACAGGCTTTAAAGCAGCTGTGCGGAACTTTACGGTTTCATCGATTATAGCGCCCACTTTGGTTGAAGCGGTATGACACCCACAGCCTGGTGTCGTAAAAATCCGACTGCAGCCGGCATTCGGCTTCATTCGTAAAATCCCGACTGCAACTGGCAATTACCGCATGCATTTGTTTTGGAGAGCGAGAGGAAAATCATAAATGTTCTGGTGTAGCTCTGAATTTCTTATAAACTGAGGACAACTGCCTGCTGTATATTTGTGTTCATGGTCACAGTCACAGATAATTTTGTGGCGTTTGTTGTAATGTTACTAGACAAAAGCTTCACATCAGCTAACGTTACATTTAGCTTGCTTATAACCTCCATGTTGTCATATATTGAAGTGAAATAACGTCTAACAAGTTGCGGTATATTCTCTAAATAAAAACAAAAATGACATACCTGTCGATTAGGAAAAGGGCCAACTCTGGATCAGTTTTAAAACCTTTCAAATCTCTCAGCTCTCTCCACTTGGTGAATGCCCCACCGAGGTTTACATGCGTTTGGGCTCGAGCCCTATCACTGTCCCGTTTAGCCTTCTTCTGTTCTTCTGTTCTTTTTCTTTTAGATGGTGCTCCTCCTTTATCCGCCATGACATCGAAAGTACAACCAAGCCCTTATAGATACATCTGGTAAAACTGTTATGTGTTCAGCAATGCCCGTTGCGTACTGCTTACTCGAAGAACACTCTCTGTAAACACGGCTCTTCTTTTTCTGTGGTTTAATGGCTGCGGGCGGCTGCGGGCGAGCAGACTTACTTCCGCCTCCAGGTGCCTTATTCTGGTTTGCTGACTTCCGCTGTGTCCAACCTACGCTAAATAGCCATATAGAGAAAGGCTTTTTTGTCGCTGTTGGGTTCAAATAAATATGCAGATCTTCAAGGGGGGGTGATACGAACTAGGGACAGTTTTATTAATGGTAAAAAGTTTGAAAAAGGGCTCAAGCATGCCAGGTTTCACTTTCACCGTAAAAAACTGGAGGAGAAGTTGTTGGGGGATGAAGTTGTTCCAAATTTGGCACGAATGGTCACTTGGACTCAACGACGAACTGATTAGATTTTTTTTTTTTAGATTTTTTTGGGGGGGCATTTTTTAGCCTTTATTTGACAAGCATGAAGGGGGAGAGAGAGAGGGAGTGACATGCAGCAAAGGGCCACAGACTGGAGTCGAACCCGGGCCACTGCGGCAACAGCCTTGTACATGGGGCGCCTGCTCTACCACTAAGCCACCGACGCCCCGAACTGATTAGATTTTAGTGGTCAAGGGTCACTGTGACCTTGTTCGTCTCATTCTTGTGAATGGGAACATCTTGAGGGAATTTCTTCACATTAGGTACAAACATCTACTCGGACTCATCGATGAACTGATGACATTTTGGCTGTCAAAAGTAAAAGGTCAAGGTCACTGTGACCTTGCATCCATCTAATTCTCATGAACACGATTCCTCAAGAACATCTTGAGAGAATCTCCTCAGTTTTGGTACAATTGTCCAGTGGGACTCAGTCTTGAACTGATTAGATTTTAGTGGTCAAAGGTCACTGTGACCTTGTTTGTCTCATTCTTGCGAACACGAACATCTTGAGGCAATTTATTCACATTAGGTACAAACATCTACTTGGACTCAGCGATGATCTGATAACATTTTTGTTGTAAGAAGTCCAAGTCCAAAGTCAAGGTCAGTGTGACCTTGCATCCATCTAATTCTCACAAATGCGATTCCTCAAGAACCTCCTGAGGGAGTCTCCTCAAATTTGGTACAAATGTCCAGTGGGACTCAGCAATGAACTGATTTGAATCTGGTGGTTGAAGGTCAAAGTCAAGGTCACTGTGACGTCACAAGTCATGTTTTTGGCCTAACTCAAGAATTCATACACTAGTTAGGACAAACTTTAACAGAAATGGCTGATAGGATGAAATAATGAAGTGATGACACTTTATATCTAAAATGTCAAAGGTCAACTTCACTGTGACATCATAGTGTTCTGAAGAAACGCTTTGCTGGCCATTCTTCAAAGCCATATCTCAGGAGCAGAAGGGGTGACATTTGGTCAGATACTGACTTGGTGACCTTGAAACTGTGCTGACTTTATAGATCTTCTGTGCTGCCGGGGGGAAGATGTGTGTGAAGCATGTTTTCACAGACATGGATGTACAATATAGGTGCAACTTGACTGGTTTGCAGAGGTATACAACCACAAAGTGGTAATTGTAGTCTTGACTTTTTTGTGACCTCTAGGATAATCACAGCCTCGAGGATGGATGGCTTTTATAGGTGTTTTGACAATATGGGGGTTTCTCAGATGTTTCCAGAACAGTGCTCAAAAATACAATGCGTTTTTGTGTCTCAATATGGTAATGTGGAGGAATTTTTGACCATTTTTATAAATTTGTGAGCTTTAACAAATGCTTAAACTTAGCACCAAAACTGTGTAACAAATTGTGTCAATTCAAAAATTGCTGCAACAAGAATGAGAATGACCATCATATACTTTAATTTTGATGTTCTCAGTCCCTTCACACTGTAAACTTTCAAAGTTTGAATAGGTGCCTTACCAAAACGCTAAACTTATTACATATTTACGGCTAGATAAACTTGACCCCCACAGTGCTGAGCTGCACCTCAAATTTATCTTCAGGTTCCCAGCTTTTAGATGATGTTCACCACTTTAATGTAGAATATACTGTTGACCTGCTGCCCCCCCCCCCCCCCCCCACAAGACCAAGTGGTTTAAGACGCTGATTTCAGCACAGATTATGTGGCTGCCTAAAAATCAGTCTGTACGAGTTGGACTCCACCATGTTTAGTTTTTCATCAGGTGTTAACATAAAGAGTATGATTTTGCTATTGTAGCCAGCATTGTGATTTGGTCTTGTAGCTTACCTACACAGTCTTATGGGAACCTGGCTGTAATATCAACAGCTGCCAGAGATGAATATATTAGGCTTAGAGTCAGAGTCTTTGTGCATTTGCCAAGAGTCTCCTGCCGCACTGTCAAGGCAAGTTCCCCAGAGACTCCAGCATCAACATCGCATATTTAGCAGATAGAAGGAGAGAGGAGGTGGCCCGCGTTGGAAAATTGCCCCAGCAGCCCATACCTAACCACATCTGACAGGTTTATTCAGAGGTTGCAATTCAAATGTGTGGAGGTCGTAGAGAATGACTCCTGGACCAGCTGTTTCCCATCATTGTCACAGTTGTAAACTGCATCCCCCGACACCTGCACCTGTGTATCTGGGTGGAGGAAAAAAAGACCCCCAACATCTGCCGGATGATAAATCTCAGCACATCGCTGCAAATTAAAGGCTGAATGAGTTTGACTCTGTGTTATCTGAATACATCACCATCCCAGGACAAGTGTTCTCCATCGGCCGCTGACAAATAGGCACTTGTATTCATCAGCGAAATGACAAAGAGATGTTCCTTGTTCGCATTTGTTGCCTTCATTTATCAGTGCTTAACATTCGCTCATATGCATGTTCCCATCGTTCTTTGCTGCGCGGCATCGCCACAGGCCAAAACATTTGTTCAGCTGGAGGCGTTATCTTCCTCTCTCTTGTTCAGACTAAAAGCACCAGACCTGGGTTACCTCTTGGTGTTTTTGTCATGATGACGCATGGATGTACAATACCTTTGTCTGGATGGTTTTCAGTTTGCATAATCTACCTCTGTTAAAGCTCCCGTTTCTATCAAATTACTCTGAATCCAATTGTTACCAAACAAAATCACAGAAATGTTATTATCCCGTGATCCAGTCTTGGCAGCCCCCATCAGTCTTCAATGTTCCTATGATTACAGCCAAATCTCATTTCATGTAATTCATTAGGTGCATTGAGAGCTCTGTCTTACCTGCTGCTAATCCCATTGGAGGACAATTAAACATGATGTAATTCTCGTTTCAGAAACGAGGCTGCATGTTATCTTTTTTGTGCTTTTTCAGATTTTGCCAATGTGAAATCCGAGGAGGCTAATCAAAGTAGCAGAACTTTGTTTCATGCATAATCTGGAGCTATATCTAAGTGTTTGTTTTTGTTCACACAGTAGCTTAATTCCTCTGGGTGAGAAGACCAAGAAATGTGCAATGCACGTGGGTTGGTATTGTTTATGTTAAATCCTGCAGATACAGTAATCCGCTCTGAGCGCTGCGGG